CGTTAAATGTCAAATAAAAACCCTTTACTCAGTCAAAAATTTATTATTGGAAAGCAAAACATGGGTTAATATAAAAACCACGAAATTTTAAATCAAACTGCAGACATGCTAAATGTAACTGTTTTAAAAATAAATATTAATATATAAATTCCTTTAGTTTTTTCATTTTTTAAATATTTTGTGTCTGAGCTTCAAGTCAATTCGAGTAGAACTAACGGAGTAAAGACCGGCTACCGTGCTACCAGATTGTTTTTTTTTAGCGTTTCTCATAAAAAAATAGAAATAATGTATCAAATTAAAGGGAATGCGAAAAATTATTGATTTATACATTTTTTTTATATTGAATACTTACCAACGGAAAATACTAGAAAACCCAATTGATTTTTTGTGAATTTTCCCACTGACCACTAAAACTTAAAAATAGTAGAGTCAATTTCCGCTCAACGTTCATGACTTTTTGTTGGCCGAAACCGCTAGAATGCCTTGCAAATTGAGTTCCTGTTATGAGGGGAATTCCGTGACCAGCCCCATTGTTTCCTCGATTCATGATTCCATTTTTCGCAGGAGTGGCGGTGGCAATGTAGTTCAAGAAGGGCGCTCGATGCGAATCAACTGGGGTCCGGGGGGCATTGTGCAAAGTCAGCGCACGACGCCGTTTTACAATTTAGCTGGGACATGACTGCTTTGTCCTCCTGGCTCCAACGGGCATATATTCCCGCCGAAAAACAGGAAACCAGACCCACAATCAACCACCAACGGTCCTAAGTATACAGTGCATATAAAGTGCATGCGAATATTACGCATACGACGCGTTGTTAATTTGGCAAACACTTTAAAGTCAAAAGGGAAGGAAACCGAATGAGGCGGTTCTGAACATATTTTTACAAATTCTAAGCTTATTAGATTAATGTATTTTAATTTTATATTATTTCTTAAATTTCTTATTAACACATACAATTTTTTTCTTGCTCAGATTGTTTAAAATATCTTGAACAAATCAAGATGATCCTATTAAATTGATTACCATTTAATTTTACATGTAATTTTAATTTACCGATATTAAATTTGAAAAATCACTGAACAGTAAAATACAGGGATCAATTGTGGCACAAAAACGTTTAAAAAAAAATTTCATATAATTGTCGTGGACGTGGCGAAAGCCGGCGGTAATTGAATTAATTGAATAAACCATGCCTTCTGCATTTAAATTAAATTTGCAAAAATCAAGTTTGATTTTATGTTTTTGTCTGCGTAGCATTCGCACTCTAGTAATTATGACTATTAACGAGGGAAGTCAGCAGAGCTGTTCAGTTGAATACCTCCACTCGACCCCCAAAGTTGACCTTGTGTAGTATGGCTTAATGCCTGGCCTATCCTAATTAAATTACGCAAAACCATATCGCAGCTGGGGTAGTTCTTGTTATTTTTTATATAATTAAATAATTCATTGGCTGGCAGAGTTTTGCGACTGACTTTTTGCCTGTTTTGCGGGCATAAAGTTTCCTCCGCTGTCGATATCAATATCGGAAAGCTGCTTCAACTTCATCGGTTGTCAAGGTCCACCATCGGTACTGGTACTGTTATTGATATTGGTGGCCCACCTCCGGTTGTCCTGGCAAAAGTCATTTCATTTCAGTTCGCTTCATTTCTGCTGGTATTTTCTATCTCCCCCGGGGGGTCATGCTCGCGATGGAGCTTCAATTTGACATTGACTTCGGTTTGGGGCATGGGGCATGGGGCATAAGGCATGTGGCATTTGGATTCGGATACGGATACGGATTCGGGGTGTCTTGGACAAATTGAATATCATCGAAGGACCACTCCCTGAAATGGTTTGAGACTCCTCCGCCAGCGAGTTAATTAAGTGTGTTTGCGTGTCAGTCCTTGTGTTTTTGTGCGGTGGCCACATATTTATAGACGCGGTCCGCTGCTTGATTAAACAGACCTCCCGAATCTTACTCGGTTTTGTGTATTTTGTGGGTTTCTCTTCTCGCACACTCAGAGAAATTGGATTGTTGAAAGTTTTTTTTTTCAAAAAATTTTTTAAGTTCTAGCTATTTAAAAACAAGTTGAACATTTTCTTAAGGAAATGACAACTAAGAAAACGTCTTTATTGTGCGCTTTTAAATACCTACAAGTATAAGTTTTCAGTTTTTTGAGTACTTGATTTGAATTTTTTTTAAATTTATTATTTTTAACAATTTCGTAACGGAAAAATAATAATTGTTTTGAGAATATAACACTGCCCATTAATTCTGGAAATTCGGTCAACTTAGTAATTCTAACTTTAAAAAATTTGTATTAATTTTTACGAGTGTACTTAGTACTTCATATCATTTTTAAGTTTTTATCCCACTGGCTATTATTTATTGATTGATTTTTAAAAAACTTTATTTGAAAAGTGTTTTTTTTTTTTTTTGAGAATACGTTTGTGAGTCCCGTTTATGTAATAATCATTTTTTCAAAGTAATTCAGAAATTCGTATTTTTTCTCCAAGATTTTTCTGAAAGTACTGAAGAAATGGCAAAGTCGAATGAAAAGGCTTCAGTAAGACCGTCTTTTGCTCATTCAACTGACAAATTTCATTTGTATTGATTAGTCAGCTCCAGTTTGTGTGGGATTCTTGGCTCCTTGGGTTACACCGAATCGACTTGCCGTGGCCTGGGTATAGAGAGCCGAACCCAGCCACCTCGGGCTCAGAGTCAAAGTCTATTTTACATTTCAAAGTGTCAGACGCCATTAGAATTGCCGAGATCTGTTCCTTTTGCCGCCGGAGGAGGGGATGTGCGCTGCATGTCTATTAAATTCCAGGCGGCAGACAGTGCGTGAGAAAAGTGCTCGCCCACCCCTCGACGTCCCGCGTTCATTTCCGCATGAGACAAGGCGACAAGATTCCTATCACGCTGCGTATTATTATTGTTTTACTAATGTTGTTCGAAGTCTTTCTTCTTGGCCCCATTTCTAAGTTATCGCCCACTGAATTCGGCATTAACGCACTCGCCATATTTGCATTGCCATCGATTTAGGTTGCCAAATTTTGACTTTCGCTAATTAAAATCGAAATCGCATCGTTTGAGTGATGGGGATTGGAGCTCGAGAACAATTACCATTAATAATTAATGGCAATCGCAGGGTTTGAGTGACATGCGTCACTTCATCGATGTGCTGTGGTAATGAATGACTTACTAAGGCATTGCTATGCAGCGGATGCGCCAGGAAATAATATACTCTACTAAGTTATGAGTGGGAAAATGCAGCTATCAAAGTATATATACGAAATAAAAAATAGAATTTGAATTTAACCTTTACTTCGTTTAAAATATATTCTTAGTGTAAAAATCTTTTTTTTTACAGAATGCTTTATATCCTGGCATGGAAGTATTTGCAAAGATAGCTCATCTTTAAAAGTTTGAACTTTAACAATTTTAATTTAATTATATTTTCTTACAACCAATCTCTTCTCGCATTCTGTTTAAAAGAAATCAAAAACAATTTCTGTTTTAACCAACATAATTAAATTCCGACCTAGGTATTGACCTTTTGTGTACAACCACCTCGGAGTCAAGTGTCTGGTTCGCAACTACTATTCAAATCGCACCTTTAATTAAGGCCAGAATGCAATTCGAAAGCGGCCTAGTGTAAGCCATTGCCTATTTGTCTGATATGCCAATTGTCAGTTGTGGAGCCCCTTTGCATAGTCATTATGTCGAACGATTTCTAATGGAGATTCTATATCACCGAATTCCGGTGCCATCCCCATTCCCATTCCCATAGCCATATTCATACCGATGGCAAAACCAAATCAGATTCAGTTGTCAAACAGTCAGCGCAGTCAATGCAAATTATGTTTACATATGCAAAACGAGTTTGTCATATACGCAGGCACTCTTCATATATAGTATAATTATACACATGGTCGGCCAGTGCATGTTAAGTCGAGTGTAAGCCCCTCGAATTTACACTGTTCCGGTAAATTATTTAACAATCGAGCCGAGCCCACTTCTCTGAATGGATTCTTTAAAGGAGTGCAAATGATTGTTGAAACATTTTCCGCTGACCCGAAAAAAAACAATGCCAAAGCGTCACAGGCAGATTTGATTTCACATGTATCTGCACATATTTTATCCACAGCTGTCTACAAAATAATAGCAGTGGTTCTCTACTTTTTTCCCCCCGTTTTTTTTTGTTTAACCAGACCATTTTTTAAATATGACTAAAATTACTTAAAGATATTTCTTTCTGATTAACATATAAAACAGGGGAGTTTAATATAAGGTTGAGGATTGAACTTCACAGAACAACATTTTTGTGTTTTTAGAACTATCAACTTTAAAAAATAATTTGTAATGTGTGATTTCATAAAGATGCATATTTTAATGATAATTCAGAATAGTCCTTTAGATACGTAGATACTTCAAGTGTCAAACGCATTTTTCTCATAACTACGTTAGAATCTTCAGAATCTCTTCATATTTTTCGTGGTAATTATAAATTATAAAATATTTTTGTTAGATTTTTTCTAAAACACATGCAAATATGGTACTACCCCCTAGTATTTCGTACACTGCTGTTGAAATTTGTGTGTTGCAATTCGGTTAGCGTGCATCTGAAATGCATTTGAATATTTTTTGGCAACATATCTAATGGAACCAAACAAAAAGAGTGGATATATGTGTGGAAATAAATTCTTGCTGTCCTGCGGTGGCCACATTTAGGAGACTATTCTAAAGGGGGTTTAAGTGGTGTTGTGGTGGGTGGTTCAAGCACACAACGAGCGACAGAGACAGACAGAGAGAGAGAGAGAGAGAGAGAGAGAGAGAGAGAGAGAGAGAGAGAGAGAGAGAGAGAGCGGCAGGCGGGGTAGTGGGTGGGTGGGTGGATTTTATTGGGTGGTTTCTGGGTGGTGGCAGTATTTTATGGAGGGGCACGCGCGAGCACAGACTAAAGTTTCACAGGGGGGCAGGCGAAAAAAAAGGGGCGTAAAAGTTGGCAATACTTACGCGTATTATCTTCTGATCACGTATTATCTTGCGTATGCAATTGACGATGAACGTAATGACCATTCCGCCGAGTATCAGGCCAAACACAATCACGATGATGACCACATGCTCCGATTGGCCGGCCGCCTCGCCCTGCAAAAAGACACAGAATCAGTTGGAGGAGTCGGTTTAATTGCCATTTTAATTGCATTATCGAATTACCAAGCCGTTTGCAAAGTATCGTACTCGGGCTTTGGCTCGGATCAAAATAATCAAAGTGTGGCCTTCCACTCGCCACTTAATTGAGTGTTCGTGCACGATACCAATCGCCAACTAATGACTATTGGCTGTTGCAGGAAGCATTTAACGTGAAATTAGCTTAGACAATCAGTTTCGATTTGATTAAGCCTTCTTATTTTAATTCTAATCATTTAAAAACTGAATGTAAATTACGGAGGCTCTATTTGACGAAGCAAATTAATTAAATTAAATATTTTTAGCACTCTAACAAAAGAAATTGAATAATTTAAATGAAAAGTTCTTAGCATGCGGTTCTTTGGCTATTAACTCTCAATAAATAAATATATATTTAATTAAGCAAAAAACATTAAATAAATTTACAAACACTATTAATATCAACAAAATTAATTGGCAAAAGAATTTAAATTAATAGGTTCAACCCGTTTACCACCTGTTGAGCTCAACATTCTGCCTTTAAATATACCAGATTATTATGAGTAGTTTCGGCCACTATTAGCCGCCTTCAGATGACCATTCTGTCGTCATAAATTATACGCGCCCAGTAAACACAGCATAGTTGTTGGCCCGATTTTAATGTCGGCCAATTAAATAAACATAACGTGTGCATGCGCTTGATTGAGCTTTGGATTGAAGCCTGCCTACACACACACACATTCATTTAATATCGTTTGAGCAAATTAGAAACCATAAACCGAAACTAGCCAATTGCACATCGAAATGAAAAAAAAAAATACAAATTCGAATTCGAATTCTGGTCAATGCAAATGGCCTCAAATGGGCCTCAATCGCAATTACATATAAAGTTACGAATAATTATGGAAGCATTTGGCAAAACCAAATATCAATTCGCTTTAATTGGTCAAGATATGGAATGGTCTGCAAAATGAAATCTGGCCATGTGGCGCGAAAATTAAATCGAGACATTTAGCCAAAATTAAATAATATAGTTTGAATAAATGTGTTTGCTTTGGCCAGCCGAAATTGCAATAATTATTAAAAAGGTTTATTCAAGGGCTGTGGTTTCTAATGGAGTGCTTTTGTTGGTTCTCTGATTGGCAATTTATGGTTTTCAGTTTGATACTCTTTTCCAAATTTTGACTGGCACAAAAGTGATTGATTAATTAATATTATACATTTTTTTATATTATGAGACTTCTTCGGAGAATTATATTTATCTTAACAGATAACCTTATAAAATTCAGTTTAATGATGTTTTATTATTCGCTTGTTGGCTTTTTTGTAGAAATCTCACTTGTATTGAATTAGTTTTGTTATTATCCCCTACAAATTTATTTGTCAATGAGCTTTAGGTTTATGTATTTATTGATTCAAATAATGAACGCACAAAATCAAATATTTACAAATATAATTAGGTTTAATGACGAATTTATTATAAAGTGAGAATGGGAAAACAATACGATAAAATGGGTTTATAACGAGTTTAGACGCTATCATGCATGTTTCCAGCTATTATATTCATAGATGGAAATAAATTGTAAAAGTTTTAAAAAGATTTTATTGCTGTTTTTCGTTATGTTACGAATCAGTTACATACGCTGGCCATTGTGAGTAAACAATTTGTAATGCATGTAATTCCTGAATACCATTGAAGTAAAGATTTTCCCCACCCGCTGTGTTTTATGTCCGGCTATTTTTCCAATGGGGTTACAACCTCATTTTCGGGAGTAGAAAGTAGAAAGTGGCAAGTGGAAAGTGGCTTAGATGGCGCTGCATGAATCATTCCCTGAGATGTGTCGGTGGGGCGGGCAACTTGATCCCGCTGACTTTATCAAATCTAATGATCTAATGCGCTGATGTTCAACTTCTGCGCTGCTGGGGGATGCCCTGCAAATAACTGTTATTTACGGCTAACGAACAAGCCCCGAAACGAACAACAACACATACAACAAGGCCTTCCTGTAACACAAACCTCAAACTTTGCCAAACAAAACTTATTTGACCAACTTTGTTTGTGTGTGCTTGTGCCGGTGTGTGTGTGTGTGTGTGTGTGTGTGTGTATGCGTTCGTGAGTATGTGTACGTGAGTGTTTTTGGGTGTTGCCATCATCGGCGTGTCGAGCATACTTATAATGAGCGGGGTAGAGGGGAGCTTAAGGGTCAGGGGTCACGGAGTCAGAGGGGCAAACGAGCGCTGGCCTATAATTAGATGCACGTACAACGGCCCCGTTTCGTGTGCGACTGCACTGAGAGAAAGTATTGTATGCTCTCAATCGAAAGTTAAGTCTTAATTTATAAGAAAACCAATTTAAATGCAGGTCTTCAAAGCGATCAGTTTAAAAAACGAATGGGATGACTAAAAGAGCTCTGAATATTAAACTATTGTTGAACTTAACTTACAAACTAAACTAGAAAGGTTGTATTTTACTGAAAAATAATTGCTAAAATAATGTTACATGTTTTGGTGAACGCTGTAGATCTCTAAAAGAGCCCTTAATATTTAACTATTAATGCTTTTACTAGAAATGTTTTATTTTAATAAAAAATAACTGCTAAAATAATTTTATACGCCTTGGTAATTGTAATATTAATGACTTAAAAACTATTTTTTACTTTTTGTGGTTTTAAAAACCAGTAGAGATGTTCATACTTAGGCGTTTCTCTGCATAGGCGTGTCACTTACCGTACAGCCCTCTTCGTCCCATCGAAATTTACAATTGTCTAGCTGATTACATTTCAAATCCTTTGATATGCAGGTCGCGTCCTCGCAATCGTACTCGTCCTCGGTGCAGGCTGCCACAAAAACAATATAAAAATGGAAGGAAGAGGAACATTTTGAGAGTTAGAGAAAGTTGTAAAAAAAATTTGGCACAAAATGGCACTTAAAGTGAGAGGACGAGAAAAGCGACTAAAATGGCTAAAATGGCTAAAATGGCTAAAACGCCAATCAAAGCACAAATCGCACAGTGGAATGGACAATTGACTTCAATTGAAAGTGCTCTCCACTGGAGATGAGTGGAAATCGGATGCATAAAATTTATATTGTCATTCGAACGCCATTCAGCAGACAATTCAATATGGCTTTTATTGATATGGAATGGCGATTGAGTTTGGGAGCAATATTTTGTGGGCGATTGATATTAATTTGTTATCATGGCCACATATAGTAAAGAAAATATTTGGTTTAAAATTATATTTCAAGTATTTGTAATAGAAACAAATAAAGTGGAAGTAAAAATATGATTTAAAAGATTTCACTTTTTAGTATAACAATACTGTTTATACGATTTTATTTATAAAATTAACTTTCGATATGTTAATTTAATATGCAAACTATTTAATATGCTGTTTTATTAAATACTATACAGTTTAGCTTTGAATTCGGTTCGTTTGATTTTATTCGCAATTGAATTTTGTGGCCAGAACCAAACCGAATCGATTCGAATCGAAAAGAACCCAAATCGATTCAACATTAAATTGAATGCCAATTCAATTTGACTTAAAGCTTCGATCAATTGTGAACTTTAAATTGATGGACTTTCCACAGTGCAGCCATTGAAAGGCGACGATGGGCGAGACCACAAAGCAAATGCACGTAATCTCCGACATAAATCGCTCAACCAACAACAATAATTGCCGATGCTGGCAGTCCAAGTAGATGAAGCCAAAGGAGCAGGAGCAGGAGCAGGAGCAGTACCAGGAGTGGGAGTAACTGGAGCAGAAGGAGCTGGTGTCGGAGGTTTTGGAGACTTGGATTCGGATTCGGATTCGGTTTCGGGGCCCCACTTTGGCTGCCTTAAAGTAAACAATGCTGGCCCGGGGACAAAGGACAATCGTTGAATGACAAAAGAGTGCTTAGCCTTTTGCCGCTGGCAACTGACGGCAATCACGCAGGACCTCCGCCTCCTGCTTTTCCCTTGGACATTCAGACATTTGGGAAGACAGTCAGACAGGCAGACAGACAAACAGACAGACAGATGGGATATGGTGGCTGGTGGAGATAGTTGGTTAGACAAGCGACTCCTACTCCTGCCCATTTGGCAGTCGATGGAACCTCGCCGGGACTCGTGGGCCAGCTTAGCACCGGATTGCCCCCAGGATTTCGGGCATGCCTTTGTACTTTGCGCCCCGGCCATTTGTTGCCAATTCGGGGGATTTGCCACCGCCATCAAAGGGCCCTCAACTTGACTTGAAATCGGGCAACAGAATCGGGCTGAATTGAACTTACCAGCTCCTCGGTCTCGAAACGCCGTATACAGAATGCCGAATGTCGAGTTAATCGCGATTTGATCTGCGTAAAAGCGCAAGTGCAGGATGTTTGACTCCGCCGTAATACTCTCGCCCGCCGAACCGCAAAAGTTCTTAACCCTGCAATGGAAATTTGGGTATGTAATTTGTAGCCAGGTTAATAATATGGTAAAAATGCTATCAGTAAAGCCATCTGAAAGGGAAATGGCAAATTAGTTTGGTAACAAACTAAAAATGAGGCAAATCATTCATTTGTAATGAATTACTTATTCTAGTGAACAACATTTCTTAATTGTTACATATAAATGAAACAGAATAAAGCAAAAGTGTCGATACAATAAATATCGATCATATCTTATTTTTGAATAAATGCCTATAGAATAACAATCATAAATAAGCTGCAAAATGGACAACGATAAATAATTTGTTGAAATCATATTAGTATCGGTTAGATGACTGGGCAATTAATTATCCAGTGATTGATATAATCTATTGCAGCAAAGCCTATTACGTTGCCAAAACATTCTGCCACAAAATGAAGCCTTAACTTGCAGTCAACGAGTCCGCCGTCTCGGCTCTCGGGGCAATATATCTGCCTCTCGTTTAATATTTGGCCATCGATAGCACACACATAATCGATAAATAAATAATTTATAATATGGCTTAAATAATGACGTTCACTGAATATTGTATTTATGTTCATTTGGTGCTGTCTGTGGCTCCGGGTATATTTTCTTTACGGCAACATTTCAACGCATTTTACGCCGGCTGGCATTTTCTCGGAAAATCTGATTGTGGAAAGGCGTTTCGGTTCGGTTCGGGTGCTGCGTTTGGCCACCCGTCGTGTGCGATAAATTGTTACGAAAAATGAATTTAAATGAAAGTGACAAAGGCATCAAATCAATGGCTAAAAAGACAGGGGTGTGCGGCCACCCACAGAATTTACCATTTACCATTTACCATTTGCCATTTTCCATTTTGCAAGAGCGGAAAACGCCAGTCAGTCAATCAATTTGAGTGTAGTCCCGAGCAGCGCGGCAATAGCAACAAGTGGAAATGTATTGGCGCGTTAAAAGCGGATGTCAATGCGTGTCGAAGATGCCGTGGTGGTGAGTCCTTCGGTCCTTCAGTTCTACACTCAGTCAGTCAGTCAGTCAGTCAGTCAGTCAGTCAGTCTACCGGGAGATGACGAAATACTCTCACTGGTACTTGTACTTGTATCACCGGGGAAAAGGACGAAGGAGATTGGTTGTGCGAGTCAAAGGCGACACCACTTCCGCTCGAGTACAATTTACTTTTGGCCGGTAATAAATTGAAAATTTGCTTTGGCCCAGGACGCGGGCTTTGATCTCGCGTTTTCGGCAATGCGGAAATTGGTTCGCGGCATTGCGTATACGATAGCCGACATTGCGTATACGCCAGCGACCGGCTGCATTCAACGGCCCCGCGATGTCAATTTCATTCGCGCGCTGCGGCGTTCGACGAAATGTCATTAAGCCGCGAGTATCGGGAGTACTCACCTCAATGGCATCACCGTCTGCTCGGGGAATATGTCCAAAAAGTTGGTCTCGCAATCGTTCGGCTTGCTCAGCTTGAAGTCCAGAAATTTGAGAAATATCTTAAAGAAGAAGAAAAAAAAAGAGAAATCATTATTTACCGTCTGAATGTGCTGCACTACAAACTCTTTGACATTTTTTTAAATTGATTACAAAGCACTTTAGTCTGAAATAAACACCTTTAAAGCTAGTAGGGTTTGAAAATCATTTATAATTGTGTTCAAGAGTATGCAACAATATATATAGAATTCCAAATTCCGAAGGATTCCTGTTAAAGACGGCGTTATTTATTTCAAAGCATACTTTTAAACACCTTTAAAAAGTATTTCTGTCCAAAGTTTGTTAGAAATATGATTTCGAATACAATAAAGGTCCAACAAAATCGACTCTTACCTTCCAGTTTTCCTTGACCTGAATGCGCCAGATGCAGTCCAAGGCGATTTTGTTGCGGATGACCTGCTCCCGGATGTCAGCCGGCACATCTGTGGAGTTAATGAAACCCTCGTAGCCGTCCTTGTCGATGGTGCAGTTGAGATCCGTGCTGGGCGCATCCCGATTCCGGTCCATGTACTCGTAGACGGCACTGAAGCCCGTGTACTCGATGGTCTCGTCCGAGTGGAAGTGCAGCCACAGGTAGCGCTCCTTGGAGGTGATCTCTGGCGGAAAATCGGTGCCGCAGTATTTGCCGATCAGCGTGGAAAAGCCGTACTGGCCATCCCGTATCTGCAATGATACAGGGAGATACCGCTCGTTAGTTCAACCAACTGGGTTGTAAGCCGAACCCGACCGGCAGTTTGTCTTGGCCTAAACCGCTTTGTCAGGGGCTGCATTCAAATCAGGCTTAAGACTTGCAGCACAGAGACAACATTCAATTAAAACTTGCCATTTTTCGGTGCAAAAAAGGCATGGCACTAGTAGTAGCAGTTGCAGTGGCAACGACAACGGCAACGACAACGGCAACGACAACGGCCGTAGTAACAAGGAAAAGTCGTAAAGGAAACAAATCGAAAACTTTGCAAGTCCGCCCAAGACCGAGAAAAGCCGAGCAACTAAGCAAGTTTTTGTTTCGGCCCTTTTTTTATGCCCTGGCTTCAGTATGCAACAAAGTTGGTCTTTTTTTTTATGCGCTGACCCTTTCAAGTTGGTTATGTCGGGTTTTGCTACACGGCGAGAAAGTATCACCATAAAATAGTGATCAAATTAAATTTCTTTAGTCAAAGCAATAAAGCGATTACTAGCATATCTCAAATTGAAATGGTATACTTCAAGTTGTTTAAAAAATATATAATTTATAAAATGTGAATGTTACTTTTTGCTGTCGAAATTGTGTCCCTGTGCATTTATCAGCTACCAGTACTTACTTCGAGAAAATCAAATTTGCACTCCTCCTTGGCCTCGATATTAAACGAGTTGCGAAAGTCCAGGCGTATGATTTGTCCCTTTGGCGCTGTAATTAGATGCCGGCATCCGCAGGACAGAAGAGTCGAGAACGGAACAGAACAGAACGGGACAAAGGCAACAGGTTAGTACACAGTTACTATACAGGTATATATATATATATATATATTCCAACATTCCATGGTTGCCATGGCACTTGACCGCACCACTTCCACTTCCACTCCCATTTCCGCCCAGAATGTCAGATCCGTCCAATCCTTCGAGCTTATTTAAAGTCAAATGGCCCCGAGCCGAGAAACTGATTAACAACAGCTCACCTCGGCGATTGTGACTTTCAAGGGATAATGTGACTAGTTGAACTGCGGTTGGCCGAAGCTGTAATGCCCTTTACAGAGCCTTTATGGCAATGGATTTAAAAGAATTTAAACAAAAAAGTCAGCATTACGTGTATGTCTCCTTTTCATTGGTTTTAATAGCTCTAGAGACTTATGAACAAATATGTGGATTTGTAAGTGTGTTTAAATTATGAAGAATGTACTTTTTTTGTACTTTATTTTATCCCAAAAAAATAATAGCATTTTGAGAACTTGTTCAATTTAAAACAAACTTGCAGTTAAAATCAGTTATGTGCACCTTGTCTTTCTGAATTATCGAAGCTATTATTGGGCACATTATTTGGATACCTAAAACATCCGGCAGTCTAATAAAAATATTTGTGAAAATTTCCGCATCTCAATGATCCAAACATAACTAGACCCTTTTTGGCACAAAGTAAGAGAAAAGTGAAAAGAACAGGACCCAATCTCGTATCTATGGCCAAAATGATAGCGTCTGGGGACTCATTTAGTGGCCGCATAAAAAGAAGAAGGCATCGAGATGCTGGACACACCCACTCACAGACTCACCCACTCAGCCAGTCATCCAGTCATTCATTCATTCACTCATTCATTCACTCACTCACACTCGCATTTGGGGCCATACATATTCAGCCAGCGAATCCTTGGCATGAATCAATGGCGATGGGCTGGCTGTGGCTGTGGCATTTCAAAACACATTTTCCCCTGGCTTTTCTCAAATGGAACCTTTGTGGCCAATGTGGCATAACAACACACACCAGACTCACACACAAGCAATTGCCAGGGCGTTAACACCCACACACACACACACACACAAACATACCCACACACATTACCTAATGGAGATGGACAAGTAATGAAAGTTGGAATCACAGACAGACGAAGAAAGAGAACTTGAAAGGGAATAGAATTCCACATTGATTGGCCTTGAAAAAAAAAAAAGGAAAAAGGGGACACTACACACACATTTGGGGCTGTATACGTACCATTATCAAATTACAAAGCCCCCCGGCAATCAAAAATTCTGGCACTGCACTTGCAGTCCATCCCCAGTCCCATAGTTAAAGTCTAATTACTGAACCCGGCTGCCCAAACTGTCCAAATCTGGCCAATTGATGACTGTCATAAGGGCTGCACAAAAATGCGCCTTCTCATAATTACACATCGAAGAGAGTTATTGGTCGCTTTCATACCTTTTCGGACAGAGAATGCAGAAAATTGAGATGAAAAGCCCCCATGTCAGGTGAATAATTTTCGGAAACATTGTTTGCATTGTCTGCTATGTGAAAATGAAAAAAGAAACTGGCGTTGCGCATACGACACCGTAGCCACTGGCTGAAATGCTTTCACCGAACTGAGTGTTGAAACCTAACAAAAGACAACAATGAGACCAAATGGCACGGGTTTTCATCAAATCAAATTAAACCTACCTAATTTTAATGTGGTAGCATAATCCACTAATAATCCGCTTTTAAATATGTTTTTGTTTAAGTTATCAAAATCGCCTTTACCATACAGCTTACTTTGCAATAATGTTAACCAAATAGGTTTTGTTCACTTACATAAATTTGTTATAAAAGCTTGGGTATATAAACGTTGTTTCTTGGCTAATCAAAACCACGTTTTTTTGTTTAGTCACTTGAAGTTTATCATTTCGGTTAAATCAGTTTTAATTCTGTATTACGCATACGCCACCATGACTTTTATTATAGTTGTAAAGCACAGTGCATGGGAACATAAGCTATATCTGCTTAAGCAATATAAAAATAAACTCCAACCCAGACCCTGATGTTTTCTCGAATAACTTTGAACTTTCGAATCCCCGACCGCAGGAGTTTTATGCCCGCAATTCCTTACGGCATTTGTGTGCCCTGCGGGACGCCCATCTTGGCCATAAAGCGAACCTCAGCTGGCTGCCTTTGTTGGCCCGCTTAGTCCAACATTAACTTGGAGTAGCACACACATTGATATGCAAATAAGCCGATGCCCCCCCCCCCTCCCCAACCCAAGTACTCGCACTCAGTACCCGTACTCGTACCAAGCATACAGTAAGGGCTACATATGCTGTGGCATATTCGTAGATACAGATACTGGAACCGCTGATGCGTGCTTATGGAAAGTCAATCATTCGCTTTCAGGTTTTATCTGTCAGCTCTTGACTTTTGCAGTGACATTATTTTGTCTTAACTGACAAATGATTTGGCCTCCAACCGACTTTAGATAAGCATTGGAGTTGACTGTGAGTTTCCCAGTTTGCCAGTTGCGGTGGCGAAGGCACTGAAGCGAGTGCAGCTCAAATATGATGACAACCCGGCCAACCCGACCCAAGCTGGTTACCCGGAATCTGAATCAAAATCTGAATCCAGAGACCCACCCAGAATCCCCAATCGAGGGATCGCATTATGGTGCCCGGGGAAATGGGAATGGAATACGGGGAGAGTCAACGCGCTAACGCTTTTAAATGGCCCACACAAAACGGCCCTGCCATGTGAAATCTGTGTGGAGCATCTTACGCATCAGCGCCATCTAATGCCTCCGGTTCACTGGTTCACTCTTCACTCTTCACTCTACACAGTTCCCCTTCTCCAATCCCGATCTCAATCCCCTTCCCGACTGACTAACTGACTGACTGACTCACTGACTCACTGACTCACTGACTGACTGACATCTGGTAATGTCAACAGCAGTGGCAGCCAAGACTTGGCCAAAGACTTTGCAATTATTTGCAGTAGCTGGCTGCTCGTCGCCAAGTGCTTGCCATATAAACTTTTACGAGGCCTGCACTCCACTCCACTTACACTCAAAAAAAACGGGGTCTCAAGAAGCCATGTTCATCTAACACCGATAAATCTTATAAGTACGGCTAATTAATTATCTATCTTTGACTTTATGTAATTTCTGATGCTAAACAGTTAAGGAAAGTATTTTATTTTAAAATTTATGGTACTAAAAATTCACTAAATAACCTATTGATAATTTTGATATTTTCACATAAACAATTTTTGCAAGACTTTAATTAAATCAAAATCGATAAATACTCATATATACTCTTTAATGTTATCCCTAAAAAAATTATTTTCAAGGAAATTTAACTCCGAAAATCTGAAAATTGGCCCCTGCTCCCATTTCTCTCAGTGCACACTCACTCTCACACTCGTTAAAAAGGAAGTCGGCTGCCAATTGGCTTTCATCAAAGTTCGTATTTGTCTTTGTAACTGTGGAATACAGATACAGATAATGCCAATGATACTGCTGGATTTTGCCAGACTGATTGTTAATTGCTTAGCCGTAGATAATCCACAGGAATGAGTTTCTGTGACTGTCATGAATACTATACAACCTGCAATTAGTTGGGGGCTTGAATCATTGCCATGCCTGAAAAAATATCCTACTTTAATAAACATTACCTTAAGGCGCCTATAAATAATGAATGACATGGACTTGTCGGGCTCTGAATATGTATTATTTATTATTTTTAACGTTAATGGCCGTGATTGTCATCAAATCTTTATATTAAAACCCCAATGGATGGAAAGCAAAGCGAAAATTATTCAAATTCAGTAAAAAATGTTTGGATGTACCACGTTTTTTTTACCATTGATCCATTGATCTTATTTTAAAGTTTATAGCTATGTAAATTCAATAGAACATTTTTCGGACAATTGTTTACACCTAATTTACCCCAATTATTTCTAGGAGACCCCATGATTAGCTTCGTCCAATAAACTCACCTGTTATCACCCGGGTGCAGTTGATGTTCTTCGGATAGAGATTGGGATACTCGGGGCTGTACAGCTCGTTCTTGGTGGGATCGCCCTCGACGAACAGCCGACAGCGGTCCACCTGATCCTCCTCCGCCTGCCGCTCGCTGCGTCCCGCCCTCGGCGGTCGGGAAATGGTCATTGCATGCCGCTCCTCCTCCCAGGCGCCCAGTTCCCCCTCGCCCTCGGCCACATCCTCCTCCCTAAAGGGGCTGGAAAATCCTCTGAAAGGGGTTAAGTTCGATGGGCGGTCGCCGGGCGGTATTGTCAGCGATTCTACGGTTGACGTCGAACGATTGGCGATTAGCTCACTGCCGGCAGAAGCTGCAAGGAAATGAAAGGGAAATGGAAAACTCCTGAGTATGCAGTTTGAGTGGCTATATATACAGATATTTCTATATGCGCACACAGCCATTTTCGGGCGGTGGCAGCATTACATTTTAGTATGATAATAATAATCATGAGCATTAAAATTTATGCGGGAGCCGGGCTTGTTTTTGTTAACTTTTTTTCATAATAATGCGCATAACTTTTCGCAAGGCAAAAAACTAAAAAGGAGGAAAAAGCACAAAAACGGAGCACAGGTAAAGCATATATTTATAAAAGTGAATACATGCCAGGACGCTGTATCTGTTCATTTTTACATATGTGTTTGTATTCAGAGAAGTCGACGCTTTCCCGTTTTTACTTTTGAGGGACAATTTTCGATTTCGTTTTAATAAATACTAATTTTTTTATATTCCTGTTTTTGAAAGAATATTTAATAAAAAAATGTTATGGGTACGAAAATAAAAATAACGCAAGACATGAATTTCGATTTCAATTCAATAAAAGTCAAAGAAATGTCAATTTTTTACACGCCAAATATAAAATAATAAAATCACAGATATTTTGATTAAAACTCTAAAGTAAGAAAAACAGAGAGACCAATAGTTGGTAACTTTAAAAAGGCCACACCGCCAGTAAGTATGCAACGCATATTTTTTTTTATTAAAGCTTTCACTTGCGACTTTCCTTTGCTTTCTGCCACTTTCTCGCCCACTCCCGCTATTTTTCTGTTTGAGCAACTGTGACTGTAACTGCAGCTGGAACAGTAACTGTAACTGTGACTGAAACGGCAACAGTAACTGGAACTGCACCTAAATAACAATCGTTAAGCCCATGCAAAGTAGCCCAAAGCACCGCACAAACACATCGCCATGTTTCGCTGTGCGGGCGAGTATCTGTGTGTGTGTTCACAGGGCATTGGCACAGCCAACAAAGTCTTCGTCCATAACCAGCGACGAACCTCAGATGCCCTCGATGCAAGCACAAAGAAAGGTGGTTTTGAAATCAATTACAAAGGTGTCCAAAAGTATGCAACAATAAATTTTGAGTCCGTAAGCCCAAAGAATTCTTACTGAAAGTAGATGCACTATTTTTCACTGCAAACTTATAGACAGATTTATAATAGATTTCTTGATCAAAGTGGTTGTATTTAGTACACATCACTATAGTAGATAATTATTGTTATTATTCCTATAAAAATTAAACGTTACCCTTAACATTTCATTGTCAAAAATCATTGTATTGCCTCCTGAATTAAAAGCAATTAGCTTAATTTTGGTTTCTGGCAGTAAATAGCCAGTGGTTTCGATGGTGGCCAAAATACCGCAACTGATTGGTTAACACATTCATTAGCGTAAATCAGTAAAGTAAATTCAATTGGTACTCACTTAGTTTGAAGTGATATCACTAAGTGCACATTAATTTAGTAATGGTTTGGAATTGTGTTTCAATGAAAATTGGTAAACCAATTGAATAAATGATTTAAATGCGTAGGAAAGCCAAACATAAATAAAAACAGTGTATTAATTTGAGCGTCTCTAACTATAAAAAAAAGTTATTGTTTTAGCGAAATTTTAATGATACTTAAGTGTCTGTTTTTGCATTATTATTTTTAAATACTCAATGAATACAAATAGGTAAATAAAATAGTTTAAAGTAGAATTAATATGAAAAAAATAAAGTACGTTTCATAGTAAGAAATTAGTTTTCGTTAAATAGTCACTTTTTTCTTCAACAACTAACGAATCTGCTCATGACTTGACAGATCTTGAAGATGTCTTGATTAAAAAAAAAAAAAGGCTCTTCATATTTGGCGTATTTCTTCAGCTATTCGAGACGAGTTTATGGGTCATAGAGTATTTAGTTCAGTTGTAACAGCAATACAAACACGACCTGAGCACACACACATGAACATTACACACACTATACTAACACACACACACAGACAGAGGCATGAAGGCATGGGAACATGTGAAGTGTTTGCCTCACATTACATGGCTGCTAGTGCCTAATGATGTAGCAACAAATTTAATAAACATATTAAGTGTTGATGTTTTTGTAATCGCACAGGGCAACGCCAGATGTTACTCCACATCAACCATCTCCATCTGCATCTGCGTCTCCCTCCCTCTTCTCCCCATCTCTCTTCCACTTCCTACTTTTCTCTGTTTGCCTTGCTTTTTTTTAACACACATACAGCTTGGCACACGTATAGTATAGGCTCCTATGGCATCCATTTTGCCGTTAGTCAAAAGCTGCTTATTTCCGTTCTGGTTCTGTTTCTGTTTCCGTTTCTGTTTCTGTTTCGGTTTGTGTCTCTGTTGCTGTTTCTGTGTTTGTGCTTCTGATTCTGTTTCAGATTCTGCCTTCGCTTCCATGTTCCTGCATTCAAGCAACTATTTGTCACATCAATTAAACGCAATGAACATTAGAATTAATTTAAATGCGAACATTAAATGAATTGTCATCTAATGAAGCGATTAAACTACACCTTCATTTGGTTTCTCTCGCTCTGTCTCTCGATAATATTGCCATAATTTATGGTTTTAGTTCAGCTTTGTAATTTTTGGAGATTTTGTAAATTGTCATTATTGATTGGGCTGCGGGGTGGGGCTTTCAAATGGATGGGGAATTTCAACAGCTTCGGTTCTGCAATGCGATCGAGTTTTATGGGCGTAGTTCCGGCTGCCTTCTGTCGGTTTCAGTTTTGGCCGCAAGTTGAACTTACCAACCATAAACTTTTCAACGCAAACCCTCGCCAAACACGCCCCATTTTAGTCCTCCACATTGATACACATAAAATAATACAATATTTATAATAAACTAGGCTAGAGATTTTAAGGAATTTATAAATGTTTATCCCTCAAAATATTTGTATTAAATAGTCATGTCTAAATGCAAAAAAATAATATACATATTAATTTTTAGTTGATTTAAAACATTTGTTTAAAATTGTAGATGTTATAACTTAATGAGGTGGAAGAATTAAGGTTCATTTTTCAATAACCTACTGTAGTTATCCATTATTATAGCCTTGCTGAAAAATGTAACACACCTACATTTCTAGACTTATAGCCTGATCTATTGGCTTGTAATTATGGTAACATTTTCAAAACAAAATGTTAGAGTAAATAGAGCAAAAATGAAATTCAATGTATTTTTAAAATGTATTTACAACAAATTATCCTTAATTTTATTCAAAAATACAACAATCCAACCTCGGAGATATTGAAACTACCATAGCTTGTAGTTTTTTCTCCCTCTACATACTCTATATCCCCTGCTAAGTCATTGGATCTCAGACTTCATCGCGTTGTTCATTTATATTCATATTTGCATATGTCTGAGTCGGTGCAGCTGTCAGTGGGTCTCAATGCGAGTGCGGGTATAAAGTATCCCTGCCACGCCCCCCGCCTAACTCCTTTCACCACCGCCCACTTCGATCCGAGTGCCTTGGGCTTGGATTCTGGGATTCCTCGCTGCCCCGCTCGTCGTCCCGTATGTATTTTATACGTCGACGCAGTTATTTGCTTTAATACACTCAATAGACTTAACACATTTTCCACGCCCCCACTGCCCCCATCCACGACTCAACCACTCAACCGCCGCCCACTTTCCACCCACTCGGTGTGTGTTTTGTAGTTTTCTGCAATAAATTTTGCATTTTGCTGGCTCTGCCAGAGACACCCAGCCAAAGGAGAAGCTCAAATAAAATAAAAAAAAAAATAAATAATATTTCATTGCAAAGACGACTTGTGAATGAGCAGACACAGTGCCTGACAGGGCTTTGAATATTGCCGAAAAATCATTTAAAATAAGCTTGAGAAATTGCGAAAAAGAAATAAAAGAGATTGGAATGTTATCTGAAATATAACTAATTATTTATGCAATATTCCAAATATCTCTAGTTTGAAAAATAAGCAATGACTATGATACATTTTAAATATAATCTTCTAAACTTGTTGTTTGAGTAATTATTCAAGTCTTTTATAATAAAAGACAGTTTCAAATAACAAATAAATCATTATACCTTATTAAATATTTAAAAAGTTCTACTAATCGCATTCAAATTAATAAATAATTTATAACTTATTTTTTAATTAGGGCCACTGTGCAGTTTGCTGTTCTGTGGTTTTAATTGCAACTGTGACTGCGATTGTGACTTTGTCTGTGACTGTGCATATTTATAGTTTTGTATTGTCTGGCAGGCAACCCAGAAATGACTAAAACTGCCTTTTGAGCGCCAGTTGAAAGGGATGTGGGTGGGTTCCTGGAAAAAGTGGTGTTTTGGGCGCAGAATTTCTTCGGCGGCCGAGGAAACTACGGCTGCAGTCGAGCAAAAAGTAACTAAGTATATAATAATTTACAGTTTGCATTAAAATTTTCGTCTGCCAGATGGGCCCCAGCGACTGAAAACTCAACCTATTCGAAGCTGCATTCACAAAGTACATAATTTTCTCATGATTTACTAATTGCTGGAAGCTGCCGCTTGTTGCTCTCGACTGCAGCATTTACAATTTACAAATTTCTATTGAATAAATTATACGTGGATCTAACTGGGAAACTGGTTTCTCGCAAAAGTGTTCTCCTAAATCAATGTAAATACGTACTAATCGCCCATTCCGAGGGAACTATAAATGGCTTTAAAGTCGGGACAAATACGATAATGTCAATCCATAATTGAGTGGGCAAATATTTAAACATGGAATTCCCACTGAATAGAAGGGCCCTGGGCTATATTCACAATATTCTACGCGGCTTAAACTTCTCATTAAAGTACAATAAGCTCTACAATTGATTGATTTAAAGAAGTGTTTTAATCGCTTTAACTAAATATAAAAAATGCATTGACTGCATTAAATTATTAGCTGCGAAATTAAAATACGAGAACAAACATACATACGAATTATTTATATAAAACAAATACTTTGACAACGAAATGAAATATTTTAATTTATTCCCTGTCACTGAGGAAAATTCATATCACAGCGTTTTTG